GAAGCTACTGATTTTTTGAGGCAGAAGACGCAATGAGCTGAATCAACCATTTTCAGACTAATATTTATTCGATTGCAAAAAATCAGGATTCAGTGAAATTTTCGTGAAAGTTTTAGCATTTGTAAAGTGAACTTTCTTCTAAATACTGTGTAACTTTCAAGTTGCTACTGGCCCCAGTTGGGAAGCTACTGATTTCTGAAGCAGACGACGCAGTGAGCTGAATCAACCATTTTCAGACTAGTAATTATTCGATTGCAAAAAATCAGGATTCAGTGGAGATTTTGTGAAATTTTCAGAAGAAAAAAGCTTTTGTATGAAACTTGCCACGATTTATCGACAGATGTAATTAGATTTTTTCCGGCTCATTTAGTTGTCGAGATGTTTGCAGTTTTTTGGAAACCATACTTGCTCGATTTTCTTGAAACCTATAAAGGCTGGAAAGCTGATGAAAATATCGGTCGATAGTGCTCGACTCGCCAGAGCTTTTAAAAATAATAACTGTTTTCAAATAAGCTGCTATTTCAAAAAAAAAATCAAAATTTTTGGCGAAAAAAATATTTTTTTAAACCGTTTGTTGACAGGTAGTTAGATATGGAAAAGTTGCGACAAATCGACTTTTGTTGGTTCAAAAAAAATCTTGTCTGTAAGCTACAGGGAAGGCAAAAAATGTTGTACAGGCCCTTATGGAAGGAAAATTTTCAAAACTTATTAAAAGCCCCAAATGGCATTGAAATTCAATCGAATTCACATCATCAAATCAAGTCAAGTGAAAGGAAAAAAAATCCACTTAAGCCCCATACTTACTCCATCCTAATTGGGATCACTCTTGAAGAAAAATAATTTTCAAAATTATAGACTTATTGTGGTCTCAGACTCTCTAGTCTTTAGAAGAAATTTAGAAAATCGTCAATCGCTGTTTTAGTTGTGGACAAATTTACAGTTTTTTGGAAGCGATATTTTCCCGAAACCCATGAAGGCTGGAAAAATATCAATGTATAATGCTCGACCAGCCCGAGATTTTCGAAATAACAACTTTTTTCGATAGGAATCTCGGTTTTCGAGTTTACTTAGCTTCTGCACGAGGAGTTACGAATGTCCAAGTCCAGCCCTGTTTTTTTACACACAACTTCCACTCTTACCATTCTGTTCCGTTCCTCCTCCACTTGCAGAATCAGCTCGCTGAAATTCTTCAGCGAGTTGCATATGGTGAATTCATCATCAGTCTGGGTGCCTCCAATCGTCTCGAAGGTGAAACCCTGCAGGCATCGCGCAAACGACTTTTGAGCATCGCCTAGTTCTGGAACAGAAAGAAACAACAATTCAAATTCTGAATCCGGAATTCGGTTACGATCTATTTTTGGGCGGTTTATCCGAGCTGCAGGCCGGAGTCGATCGACTACTGCAAACCCAAACTATAGCGGGTAATTGGCGCAATGGAAAGCTCCATCAAATATTCAAAAGCACTACGACAACCTACAAGGGTTTCCAATTTGGGAGTAGCTGAAAATTCCCGATTTATTGCT